CCGCGACATCCGTCACCCAAGCAGCTCTCTACTCCCTGCTTCCCTCAAAAATCATTTTCAGTAAAACCACCGGGGCAGCACTCTCTTTCCTGTTCTCAAAGCTAAAGCTCATCGGCTCTTCCGCACAAAAAGACAAAATGGTTTTGTCCAGTCTTCTGCCCACGTGGACCTTCACGCTCTGTCTCTCAGCTTGCAGCTTCTAGCTTCGCTACTTCCCCTACCCAGCCGATTTCCTCACTATTTCTTTCCCTTTCCCGTGCCTTGTTTTCTTCTTTCTCTCCCTTCTTAGAGCCTTGCTTTACCCTTTCTTTCCCACTCACCCCTTTAGGTTGTGTTTGTCTTCAGTCCCATCTTCTAGCACCACTATTTCTCTCTTGCATCTCATTGCCTTGCTGTTTTCCCGGCTTCTGGCCTCTGGCCCGACTTTCTCTCCCCTCTCTGCTCTTTTGCCCTGCTATTCCCCTGCCCCCAGCCGCTAACCTCATCACTTCTCTCCCCTCGGCTTGGTTTGAATAGCCAGCCCTGCACAGGGGCTGTTTGGGGACCAGCCACATGTCGCATGGGAGCTGTGCTGTGTCAATGCCCACAGCCATGTTGCAAACTGTCCAGTATGCCCACAGATCCAAAAAATGCTTGCAGATCCAGATCCTGTCTTGGGTACATAGTAACATCCCCGTGCAGCAGATGCTCCCACTTTAGAGGAATGGGGAGGAGACCAGCAAAAGAACATGTTGCCAATAGAGTTTTCTCTGTTTGTCTGCGTAGCCAGCCCAACGCAGACACACAACCATTAAGTGAAGTAATATGAAGCACAAGATTTATGAATGCATAGAAAATAGGAAGAGTGCAAGTTTTCATCTGCAGATTTGTTTTCCTCTACGCACGACTATTTAGGGATCATAATATCTAAATCAATGGCTTTCACATCTCTTGTTTGGAGAGTGGAATGTAATAACTTTACATGACACACTCGTATCTTAACTGTCTGAAAATATAATTATATGGTTTAAGAGCTACTGTAGCTTAAATGCTCAGATATGATTCGATGTTTTAAAAGATTGCATTAAGTATTTTAATTAAGATATATTGTAGTGTATCCCCACCCTGAAGGTTTCAGGCAAGTGAATATAATTTAGAAATCTGTATGTACATTGGCTCAGACCAAGGGATAGGCCCGTAAGCCTCCAAACTCAGAGGTTTATGGGCATCCTATGCAGGGCAGGGAAACCATCCGGCAAGTCAGCTAGCTAGGCAGTTGATTTTGGCCATCTAGCTGGGGTATTTCAGACATGGAAGGGAAGAGGCTGGAACATTATCAGGTTAAGCAGCAGCCCCAGTCTCCTCCTCTCCCTGCCTCCAAGCACACCCCTTCACCCCTCCTATATGGCTGCTCTTAGGGTCTTGGAGGAGCAGCTGGCTGCAAGGGGGAGGGGAGCAAGCCGAGTGTGGGTCTCGATCTCCAAAGTCTGAGCTCCTTTCCAACCTCTGATCCAGGAACCCAAAGAATCCAGTTACCCCCTCAATGGATGCTCAGCCTCCCCAGCCACATTTTGCACTTCCCACTCCTGTCATTCCAAGCAGCATGGGTGACGTCGGGATTTACGGGGCTTATAATCAAAAACATATAGAGGGTACCAGGTGGTGGAAGGCTGGTCTGGTTCAGTATAAGGCCCCCTTCTGTGCTCCACAGTGAAAAATATAGAATACCTAAACAAAATCTATACAAGCAGCATATAAAATGGTGCTTCAAAAAGAATTCATAAACCAGTATTTGCCTGGAGTAGAAAGTGATTTATCTTTCTTTGTTTGCAAAAATAATCTGAACTGCCATTCACCCACAAAATTGGGTCCCAGAGCTGTATACAAGTTAAAAGAATGAAACGCAATAATCCACAAGCAAAACTGGAAAGAATAAACAAGAAGATTGCTTTAAAAAGTAACTCAGTCTCCGAAAAGATTTTGTGAGAGCTTTTTCTCCCCATTTCCATTCTAAACAACGGAAAACCATTCCTATTTTCTTTTCTTCTTCTTCCTTTAAAAAAATTTACCCTGGATCTGAAGAACCAATCTCAAGAACGTGGGGGCTTTGCTTCCCATTTATGACCATAGCAGATTGAGGCTGATGCAAGCAAAGAGTTTACAAGTTTGGTTTGGAGACTGGCAGCAGTAATAAATATGAGTGTGCAGGGGCTGATCTGCATTGGCACCCAAGCAGAGGAGGCACCTTTTTCCAGTTGCAGTTCACCTGACTCGCTGGGAGGCATGTGCAGGCTTTCCAAGCACCTTTTCTGTCACAGTGCTCTTACCCTGCAGAGCTTCAGGCGGTGCTAATAGTCAGCTCTTCCAGGCAACTGGCTTTTATTTGCCTGGGCATTTTTCATGGAGCTACTGTTGTCTACAGTTTAACAGTAGAAGTTGGTGATTCCCATGTGATTGGCTGGTGCATCCACCCCAGGCTGTAAGGAGCTATCCATGGTGCTGAACCCTCTCCTTTAAATCTCAAACTGCTGCCCAGGGTGGATACACTGCCCCTCTGACACTGCAGCTACCAGGCAGTGCTGAAGTTTAATACTGATCAGGCAGACTTAGGCTGGCTGAAAAGGGTCCACTTTCCCACAGTGAGTTACCAGCTGCTGTTGCTCCTCTTCCACTTTCTCATCATTGTTCCCACTTCCTTGCTTGGCAGGCAGAGAGTCAATGAGTAAGTAGGCAGTGACATCTCCTGCTCTTCCTTCTCACCACTTTTGTGGTCTGGATCACAGCAGGAGGTGGGCAAATCAGCAGGGAGTGATGCTAAAGAAAAGCAACAATTCTGGGGTCTCTGGCCAGGGACCTGTTGCTTCTGCGATGAGGTGGCACGCCATGTCTGGCTCTGCATTTGCTTCAGAATTCTCTGCCTTCCACATCTAATGAAATTAAAGGATGGATCTTTAAAAGACAGGCATGCAGAGGTACACAAACAACAGATAAAGAACTCAGACATTTATTTTGGTTCATGCAATCTTTCCATTTCCTCGTGCCTATGAAATCAAAAGTTCAGAAATAGAAGCAATGGGATTTTGGATGCTGATATTGCCTTGAAGCAAGATCATTTATTGGGATTGGGCAGGAGATACCCAACCATGAGTTGAGAAAGGCTACCTTTTTTGCTACAGTGATTACAATACATGGATATGATAATGATATACACTTTGTTTGGTTGATAGGCCAGCCCTTCTGAGAGAGGTTGAAGGAAATGAACATGGCTCTCCCTTGCTCATTTCATCCACACCATGTCCTCAGGTTAGCCTTGGAGTCCAGGTGACTGATACAAGGTCAACCAGTCAGCGCCATGGCTGTGTGTGGTTTTGGGCCGCACTCTGTCTAGTCTTTTCATGACATGCTGACTTGGTCTTCAAGAACTCAAGGCCACACTGCAGTGCTAGCAAAGCTTTCATTGCCTCATTGGCTAGGAGGTGTACTGGGAGCAGCATCCCAAAGACGTTTGGGAGGAGAAATGCCTGCCGCCAAGAGCCCTATTGTCTAGAAAGTTCTTGCGGGATGTGGGGAGCAGGCCCATTTCCAGAGGTGTGTCTACTGCAAAACAGTGTCATATTCCTATGACAGAAATCCCCAAAAGGTGTATGTGTAAGGGGAGTTTTTAACCCTTTGGCTTTTGCCGTGGTCCCAGTCTAGATTGGGAAAAGTGTTCCTCTTTGTGCAACACCATCTTTTCTTTCAATTTTAACACTAAGCATGAAGATGGGGATTATCTGGGCTGGAGCCACAGTAGGAGGGAAGATGAACAGTTACAGTTAGGGTTAGGACCCAGTCCAAGCTGGGCCAACCATTCTTGCCATTTACCTTTGCTTCCAAGACTCTTGAAAGAAATCTTTCCTGTCCCTGCTGTACGGAATCCACTCAGATGGATGCACCAGGTAGTGTCTGTGGAGGCAGCTGTAGCAAGACACATGCCAAGCTTAAGCCCCAGGCCAGAGGAGAGAAAGGAATACCCAGGACGCCTTCATGCGTTACCCCAATGTGTCCTTCATGGCACCTTCATCCACCCAACTCTTCCTCACAATTCCTTTAGCTTTAGCATAGCCCCTACTAAACTGGTGCCCTCTGGGTGTTTGGGGCTTCAACTCCCACCATCCCCAGCATAAGCCATGGTCAAGATTCAGGAATGTTAAGAGTTGTAGTTCAAAATATCTGGAGTCCACCAAGCTGGTAAAGGCTGGGGTAGACACTAAATGCATTATAATATTGTTGATAAGTTGCCTATTTAAAAAAAATATATAAGTAAGCCACAAGAGATTTCCGTCTGGTGAATTTTTGACCTGACCTTTTAAAAAGAACCCAGTTGCTCATGGCCTTGCTTTTTCAAGGTTTCATCTCAGTGTCTGGCTAGGTATTTGTTCTCTCTCACCAGGACTTAAGTTAATGCCAGTTGTCTTAATACCCTGCAAATCCTCCAGGTGTAAGTTACACCTGCTTTTATATAAAAGGGCAGCATGAAGCTTTCCTCTCTCCACAACTAATTCCATCAAGGCAAGCCTAAGGCAGGTAACTTTTCATCAGACTCTCTATTAAGGCTATTTTGGAAATGACAAAGCTTTTATTAACACATTTAGATAGAAGAATTCTTTTTAAGAGCTGACATCTGCTGCCTCTTTTAATGCATTTACTCTGATTTCTTTTCTGAAAACATAAAGTAAATTATTTGCATGAGCGACAGAGATAGTATCTATGCAGTAGAAATGCTTTTGATGATTTCATTATTTTCTCTCAACTATAATCTGATTAATACACACACACATTGAAATCGCTTATCCTCTAACAATAACTCTAAAGCTCTGTTTTGCTGACTTTACTCTGTGAGTATCCATCCTTTCTCTGTATTAAATGTTGGACTACTTATCAGCATACAAAGAATACTAATGTTGTCTATTTCTAAAGATATGTGGAACTGTAAGCCATGCATCTCCCATGCCTATGAATTCTCTGATTCACAGCCCAGGATGAAGACACTTACTTTCTGTGCCCTGTTACTTTGCTGGAAAACAATGTGCTGTAATCACTGTGAGCTGACCAACGTCACAATAGTGCTGGAGAAGGAAGAGTGCGGCTTTTGCATCAGCGTGAATGCGACTTGGTGCTCTGGCTACTGCTTCACAAAGGTAAGAATCAGAGCGTTAAGGGCACAGCCTTACGGCTGGCTTGAGCATGCTGGAATCTGTAGACCTTATTTCTGTCTAAACATACATAGGGTTACACTTTAACGACAAAGGGAATTACATGTTTCCCAAACAATGCAAGACAAGTCATGGTCCCAGATTCTGACAAAAGCATCGGCACATACACAGGCACAAGCGCACACATCTTTTCAGCAGAGATCACAGACAGGTATAGTGCTGGCACCCTGTGATCTGAAGAGAACATAAACAGCAGCAAACATGAGAGATGCAGGTCCTAATAATAATGCTAGCTGCACAATTATATGCATGCTTATTCAGATACAGGAATAAATGTAATACTATGTAACAAGCATAGTCTAACTTTATATGCATGTTTATTCAGATATATTCACATGCACATGGGAACACAGCTTTGTACACCAAGTTTAACTTTAGTTTCCTGAATGTGTATTCCATTAACAATAGACTGACCCACCCCCAAATAACAGTTTCCTCTCCAAATCCCAAAGAGACAGATGGATGTTCCCAATTAATAGGTCGAACAAATGAGTGGTGTGGTTGCGTAGGAGCTTCCTAAGGAGTGGCGAGTCCAGCTCCTTCTTGAAGAGTTCATCTACATATTCAAAGGTTACCATTTATCATCATTCACACCATTAGACCTTGCACATTTAAGGGCATCTTCTGCATTGGTTAGCAGAGCGGGATCACGGGGTTCATCCAGCCGATGTTTGAATTCTACGCACTCAGTAGCAAGGCTGGCTCTTCTTTTAGGCAGAGTGAGGCAACAGCCTCAAGAGACAAGAGCAAACAGCCGTGTGTGCGCCTCGTAGCCTTCCCTGCCCTCCTAAGCTGGTCTGCCGCTCTCAAGTTTGATGACAGCTGCTGTTCTGTTGCCAGTGCTGAAGCCAGGTTTGACTGCCGGTCCAGTTGGCTTCGGCATATTGAAGGAGGCAGCACCCTTTTCTTTTGCCTCAGGTAGCAAAATGCTTTGAGCCAGCCCAGAAGGACTGGATCCCAAAGCAAGGCAGTCCATCTTGGGGTCGTTTATGGCAATCATTTGCTCAAGAAGACATGGCACACTCTAATTTGTTCCAGTTTATTGTTTACTTTTTTGCCATCGAACAAAATTCAATGTGTACTCATTGAAACATGCTGTCCTATAACTCGTGTTGCAGATACCACAGGTCCTAAAATTGAAGTTGTGTTAGTTCAACAAGTTCTTCGAAGTTCTCCAAGGTGATGGGAGAATACGATTAATATAACTTTTGATCCAGTTCTTTAAAATAAGAGAAAGACATGATCAGTCACTGCTAAAAAGATTTAATACCCAGGCTGTCTTTTTCTGTCATGCACAGGATCCAGTTGATAAGTACCTCCTGCCATTGAAGCATGTCCAGAAGGTCTGCACATTCAAGTCAATTGTGTATGAGACTGTGAAACTCCCTGGCTGTGCTGGGCATGCAGAATCATTTCACTCCTACCCAGTGGCAACCAGATGTCACTGTGAGACCTGTGACACAGACCTCACTGACTGCACCAGGAGAGGCTTGGAGCCAAGTTATTGTTCCTACGGTCAAAATCAGATCAGGGAGTGAGAATGTATGGGGTTCTTCCTTGTATGCTTGTCTTCTATAAGCAGAAATGAATGTAAAGGGAAGGAGCAGTGTGTGGGATAGCACTGCCGATTTTAATAGCATTCTGTATGTCTAGACTCCACCCAGTTGCATTCCTCTTCAATGGCTTCATTGTGGCATCTGAAGCAAAAATGCTTGCTCATGTTTCACAGCTTAAGGCACAACCCTATGGATGCTTAGACCGGGCGGCGGGGGGCGGGGGGGGGGGGGACCCAACGATTTCCAGCCTGGCCCAGGCAGATATGCACTGCAGGGAGTCATAAGCCTTTTTCTGAGTAACCATGCACAGGATCTTACGCTTAAAGCTTTCTAAAATTCCTCCACAATCTTCTCCCTACCCACCCTTTTCTCTCCCCAGTGTTGAATCTCTCTTTCTGCTTACTCCCTATTTCAGTGTTTGCCTGCAGACTAGCAAGCATCTCCAGACCTTTGCTTCATTACATGCTATCCTGTTTATTTATTTGCCATTTTCGGAGCACGCAATCCAGTCCACAGTTACATGATGTAAGTCGGTGTGTTTTCCGTGGGCTTCAGCTGTGCTTGCAGCTTTGCTCACTGGGGAGGGACATTTGACTGAAAGGAAAAAGACCCATTCAATGTGATGAAAGGACACCATTCGGTGCTTGTTCTAAAATGGTCCTGTAAATAAATATGACACTTTGAAATAATAAAATAATGTTTATTTTGTTGCATGTAGACTACTTGATCTCTTTAAAGAACCTGTAAATTCACAACAAGTCATCTGTTTATGAATTGTAAAAAAATCGTTTTGTGCTTTACTCCCTAAAGCAGGGGTTCCCAACCTGGGGCGCCTGCACCTACAACGGGGTGTGAGAGGGCATTTCAGGGGGTGCAATAAAGTGGAACCTTGTGCCACAATTCACAAAAATTGGCAAATCACATTTTCCACCCAAAATTATCCCAGTAATAAATCATTTATTGTTATTTTGTTTGTATTTGAATTCAGTTCTCTTTTGTCAATCCAGACAAAATTCAGGCATTGCCTGAATCCACAGCAGTCTTGCAGATCACAATCAGCAGGAAAGTCCCACATTTTGACAAAATCATGAATGAGAAGCAGGAACAAAGAAGTCATTGAATTTTATGTTCACACTTGGGATTGATTTTACTCTTTACTTTTTTTTCTAATTGCTCAATCTATATTTGAATGTTATGCACCATTAAAAATCTTACTTTTTTTAGTTCAATTTGTTCACCCGCAGTACTGGATGTGGTTCAATCAGAGGTTCAAAAATTAGAAATTTGACTTCTTCATCTTCAAATGTGATATTACTTTGGCAGAGGGTGTGAACTTAAATCAAACACTTTCTAGGGGAATGGGGTACACAAAGGTCAGCAACCACTGCCCTGAACAATCTTCTCTGTTGGTCTTTAAGGCAAAGGTTGTCCTCTGGTTGTTATTGGACTACAACTCCCATCATCTTTGCCTATTGTCAGGGCTGATGGGAGCTGCAGTTCAACAACAACTGGAGGACAACACATTGCTCATTCCTGATTAAAGTTAATACTCATTTACTCAGAGTTGTCCCCCTTTATTCCCTGCTCTCGCATTAGAATAGGTTGAGCCAGTCTGTTGTGATATACATTGAATACTTGTGGGTCAGTTGCTTTTGCATGGGTCATCCCAAGACACTGATTGCTGGGAGATTCAGAAGAGAGAAAAGCAGCACTTTACACAGCACATGGAATTCACTTTCATGAGATGGGAGTGGATTTAACAGGGGACTGGACAAATTCATAGCTACTAGTTCTGAAAACCACCAGCTTCTTCCACTATCAGGGCAATGTGCCTATGCGCACCAGTTGCTGGGGAACTTAGGAAACAGCATGCTGTTGAACTTACATCCTGCTTGAATCAGCCTGGGGGCAGGTGGTTGGCCACTGGATAAAAAGGACACTGCCCTGGATGGGCCCCTGATCCAACATGGCTCTTCTTGCGCTCTCATGCTTTTCCATGGATAAACAACGGAACAGACAAAATAGCTTTGTTTGCTTCTGCCCAGAAGGATCCAAAGTGGTGAAAAGCTAAGCAAATCTCAGTGGGATTCTGATGGAATGAACAATAGATGTTAATGTACCCCTCATTAACAAAGGCAGATTTGCTGGGAGTCACACAGCATTTAGCACTGAGCAATTCTGCTCGACCTTCCCATGAGAATGAACAGATAGTCCTGTTTAAGATAATCCCCAATGGATGATCACTCCTAAATACGAACTGAATCCCAGAATGATGAAATAGGCCTGTAGTCAAAGCAGGGCTACTGAGAAATGAGAAAAAAAAACTTGTTCCAGTGGTATTCAAGGTTTTAGAAATTTCCTAAATCAAGGACTGGGCAAATGATTGTGGAGGGGAGGCTACAAAGCACCCACAAGACAGGACTGTGAGCAGTGAAGCCTTGGGGATAAGTTGGTAATGAGACAGGCTTGACTGGACTGCAGTAGAACAGCTGAGATAGGATGAACTGAGTAACTGACTGGCAGCACCAACATCTCCCCCTTTTCTCCTTTCCTCCTGTGGATCTTCCTTGCTTAGGTCCTGGATGAAAAGAAGTGGGGAGGCAGGGAGATAAGAAAAGGAGAAGAGCTGAGCCTTTGGTCCATTTCTGACTTGTTCTGAGTGAAATAAAGCAAAGGAGATCATAGAAGTCATAGACAGATATTAAAAGGGCAGAAAGAAATATCTCGTTGTCTTTATAGGTCATTTCTGGCTTCACACAGAGAAGCTATTTTTACATGTTCTCCAGTTTTCAGTTTACATGGCACTGAAAACTACCTATTGAAATCAAGAGAAGCCCGGGATTTTACCATAGCATAAAAGAAAATAATTCCTGGCTTTCTAATTCTGTTCTTGCATACTGTGAAACATTAAAAATAGCCCTGCTGATATAAATCCCAAAGTAAATGTAGTTTATTGTCCCAATATCACCAGCAGGAAAGAGTGGTACCTGGGAAATGGTGGTTTATGATAGCCTGAAATGTTGTTCTTTCTGCATACTGGTCAAAGGCCAGACTTCACATGCTGTGATCTATACATATTACATCATATGAACTCAAAACTGGGATAACATGTGCTGACAGCTGCCACCAAAAAGGACAAAAAACCCAGATACTAGTGAAGAAATGTATTTCAGGCCCAACAGTTGTGGAAAAATCTATCTTCAGGGCTACAATTAAATGCATAAAAATATGCATAGAATATGAGATAGTACAAATAAATCATAATGAAAAGGAATACAATATTATAATATAATGCAAACTGAATAACAAACAAAAATTAAAGACTAAAGCTCTGTTATCTATACACCTGCCTTGCAGGTAGGGAGGCAGTGCTGAGAGGAGTTTAAATTTGGAGTCCCAGTCAAAGTCTGCCATTCTTCTCAGGTTACAGCAGCAATCAGTCTAACTAAATTGCCCCCTCGGACTGCCTCCCAGCTCTCAGTTGTACATGGAACTGACTTCCATACGGATTGATGGTGCAGCAAAGATTCCAGTTTTCAGCGCTTTCTTTTATTTTTTTAGTCCATGAGGCCACAGGCCACAGGCCTGGGTAACAAACATACGCAGACACTGCAACCTTTTACTGCCTCAATACATATACACTTTTATACAGATGTATAAAACTAATTATTGTTATAAACTGCCCAGAGAGTTTCAGCTATTATGTCATACAGAAATTAGATTACTAAATAAAATAAATACATTAGGTCAGTGGTCTGTTCTGCAGCATCTACACTAAGCACCAAATTAAGGTTAGGTTTGAGAAGAGCAAACATTCTATAGAAAGAAAAACAAATTCCAACTACATCTTATAAAGATTATTGTATAAATTTGCATGGACAGATCGCCCCCATTATCAACTGCTGGTCAAGCTAATTTTGTTCTTTAATGTTCTTTACTTGCCTGCTACTCATGATCTACAAAGTGACGGTTCTGTGCAGGGGTGGGGGGGCACATATCCGGATATCATTCCATCTTAGCTTCACACTATTAAACATGGAGCTTCACTTGGATCCATGAAAAATGACCCACCCATTTGCTGGTCCCCATTTTTCATTTTTCCTAAGTTGCTCCTCCAGGACAGACTTTTAGGTTTTCCATGTATATCAAGGAGGATGAACTTTTTGGTATCATAGCAGGAGTGGGCAATTTGAAGCCATACAGATGTTGTTGAACTACAGTTCCCATCATCCCTCCATTTACTATGCTGGCAGTGGCTAATGGGAGGTGCGGGGTCACAGCTTTCCCACCCTAAGATAAACTGTTCTGGAGCAGCTGCAGATTCAGCAAATTTGCATCTTGCTCAGGCTGCAGTGAAAAATGATACTGTCTCTCTAGGGTACAATTTTATATATTGCTCATTAACACATTCCAGAATAATTCCAGTTAATGGGTGTTCTGCCAAGGGATTTCTGTATAGAATCGGCCTTATAATGAAGCAACATGAAACAGGTCCTACAGGCAGCATATTCTTAAGGAATGAATTAGGAAAATAGGATTGATGTTGAATTATATGTCCCACAATGCAGGGAAACTGGGGTTGGGGGGGGTCACAAAGATGCTGATTTCAAAGATAGCCATACTTGGGGGCTGCATGGCATCAACTGCAGCACTATCTAAACTTCTTCAATGGGGTAAGCAGGCTGATTGGTCAAAGAAGAAGTGCCTGAGGCCCTTCTGCTCTGCCAGATGAAAGAAGAGGGAATCAGTCAGTTCCAGCCCCCTTGCCTCCTTCCAGGAGTCCTGCTGCCTCTCCTCCGCCACCACCCCCTGTCACTGGGATGAGGGCTACTGGAACATTCAGTCCCTCTCCCCAGCAGGGATGAGCCCCAGGGCTTCAGTTGCTCCACACCCCCATGGCTCTCTCTCATCAGCAATAGGAGGGCTATGCTGTCGGCATGTGCCAATGGGCAAAGACCCCACTGTTACCTCTGATCTCGGAT